TAATGATAGAAAAATTTGGCTTTGATGTAATTTATTGTTTTGCTAAATTAAAAAAAAAAAAATCAAAATTCTGTACTATTTATTATATTAATGATAGAAAAATTTGGCTTCGATGTAATCTATTGTTTTGCTAAATTATAAATATGATGATATGTAATTCTTAGGGTCTGATTACTTGTATACTTTAACTAATTTTTTTGTGTACCGGAAATACATGAACTATAGATAGAACATACAATGATAAGTATTTTCTTATGTCTTTACTCCAGTGGGTACCCAGACGAGCCATGAGAGACCAGGGTCCAAAACTAATTGAACAAGTACGCCAGGAAGCAGCAAGGGTAAATTATTAGTTCATACTTTTCTTTATTATATGAATCAGTTCTTAAGACATTTGGGGTATTTATAAAGGTCACCCTTATTAATCGGTGAGATTGTACATAGCACAGCTTTGGAAGTGTGACATCTATCTAGTTACAAAATCCAAGTACTGTTAAAACAAACTACGACCAAAGAAATTATTGTTCTTACAAACTAGAAAAATATTATTAGCTTATTATTATTACAATTAATAATACAGTTTTTTTTTTATGTCATTACAGGACATGGGCATATATATTCCGAGCAAACAAAGTGATTTTTTCAGTGGCATAAATGGAGATCATGGATTTCTGGGAAGAGGACAACCAAGAGGCGGACTCAATGATGTTTTTATTCAGGGGCCAATGGGAAGCAATGTTGGAACAGGTCCCGGAGTCATTGACCTAGATCCATATGGTGCCGGAAGTTACAGCCCCAAGACACGTCAACGAAACTTTAATCGAGATTCGGATTACAAGTCGGGTGAGTGACAAAAAAAATCCTAAATTGTAAAAGACTACCCACAAAGGGTTCAAACCTTACTTATATTACTGCCCAGATTAATGTCTGTGGTTCCCCTTCAACGATTGTTGGACTCATTCATATCTTGTCTCCGATTCAATGGCATTTTTCCAGTTTCCAGTAGCTGTTCTGTGCTAGAGTAGCGTCAATGTTGAGTGTTTTTAATGTCATCCAGGATGTTATCATACCATCTTTTCTTTGGTCGGCTCCTTGGTATCCGCCCTCCAATGTCGTAGCTTAGGATCTGCTTAGGTCAGTTGTTGTTGACCATTCGCTGGAGATGTCCAAATCACCGTAAATGATTTTGTCTTAGTAAATGCTCAGATCTGCCACAGATATTAGGTCGCTTGACTGAGCAAATCTTGTCACTGCATTGTTTATTTCTGACAAATAAAAACACTTGCACTTCCTATAAAGCTTCATTCTATGATTGGCCAGTTATGTACTTGCTCTTGAATGTGAAGGAATTTTCACAAAATTTTAACATGTTTTATTTTTTTTTTAACTTCTATTTTAAACTGTGTTCTCATTATTATTTCAATAGGCTATACTAATAACTACTCACAGTTTAGTGGCCAGGGTCGTCAACGACAACAGAATCAGAACTCAAATTACGGAAACCAAGGGCAACAGCAGTACCAGCGCCAGACGCAGGAGAATTCTGGGTATGGTCAACCACGTCCAACTGCGCAAAGTAGAGACATGCCACCACGCTTTTCTAAAGGAGGGGATGAAGTGAGTTTGCATATGAAATAATTACATTGTTGTTGAGTCCTGCATTAAATAACTC